CAGTGGGTCCATGGGTGGTGGAGGGCTGTTCTGACACCATTTGTCTGTCACACATATTTCATGATCTTTACTTTGACAAGACCTAATAGTATTTTGAAAGTCAAATAAGATTTCACTGAAATGTGTTGAAAATAAATATGATTGACTGTCCATTCATACCTTTGCTTAAGGCTTGATACGCTTTAGCCCAGTTGTCACGATTGTCGGAGGTGAGGACGCCGATAGCTTCACTAGATGGACTCTTAGAAAGTTCTATAACTTTTTTCAACGCCTGCACGATTTGATCTTCGCTTAATTTTTTATTATCGCTACCCCAAAGGTCAACATGGAAAATCTGTAAGAAATCCAAGTAATAATTAAGTTTTAAGTATTCAATCGGTTTATTTAGCCTTATCACGCTCAAATAGCTTATCAAATAACACATAATTTTTTTTTTAAATATTCGCTCCCAACATGTTTCTTGACCAAGGAACGCAATGTGGCCACTTAAAAAAAGTTAGGAAAAAATATGAATGTTTTAAATTTTACTGTTTGCTTGTATTAAGAAAACTAAGAAAATAATTTCATAATAAATCCAAGTAAATCATTGACATGTTTTTATTATGTTTGTCATACTTACATGGTAGTTATGAATAACTGTAACATATTTGGTATCATTAAAGGATAATTTATCCCTCTTTTCTCCAGGGATCCTGCATGTTCCAAATATTTTCTTGTATTGGGACATATCAAGTGGACTTTTTCCCATCATTTCTACTGGGATTTTGTCTCTAATATCAGAAATAAAAACTTTACATACAAAAATTATAAACAAAAAATAAAAAAAACCGTATAAAAAAATAAGAAATAGGGTACATATTATCATAATAATTGCTTACCCATCTATCAATGCCTTATACTCCAATGCGGCCAACAATGTTTTTGCAGCATAATGCAACTGTTCATCTTGGTTGTTGAATTTTCTAAAGGGGAATACCAAGCCTGGGCTAGAAAACACAACAACTGGATCTCTGTATTCCAGATAAGCAGTGTTTAGCCACCATTCTTCAAGCCAGTTAGTATGCTTTTCCGCTCTCTTCTCAAGGAGACTCTGAAACAAAAAACCATTAAAGTTTTTAGAACATAATTGAATTCCTACAGTTAATCAAGATGATATCAGCAAATAATTAATTAAACTAACATCAGTAAGTACACACCTGTAACTTTACCCCAACACCTCCAGGAGATGCAAATTCCTTTACCAATTTTGTTGTATTTGCAAATTCTTCATCACTAAGGAATGGTTTAACAGTTTTAAGGTACTTGGTGAGTGTGTCATTAAGTTTTGGAACTGGCAGTCTCGGTAAGTTCTGAACATTTAAATTTGCTTTAGTTGATGTGTAGTTGCTGATCAATTGTAATGAGCTTGCATAGGGTTCTAGATTCAGTCCCCTGTAGCCACACTGTAAAAAAGATTATGTGTGTGTTACAAATTATATTAAGTCGTAATAAAGAAAGAATTTTTGTCTCATTCCCTTTGTACTTACTAATTTTATGCTGCGAATCATATTTGGTTCCTGAAAGAGAAAAAAAACATGATTTAATAAAGCCAAATGTCTTGTTTGACTGACAATATATCTGTAATTATTCCTAATTGTATAAGCATTAACTTCTAAATATAATAGGATTTCCAATAAGGTGATTTTAAATCTGTTTATTTTGAGAATTCACCATCCATGTAGTACCAAGTGGTATATCTACCAAATTGTAATGAACTTTAAATAAATAATAAAAATTGATAAACACAGCAGATCAATAAAGTATTCAATTCTTCAAATACAATTAAATTTGAATTTATTTTAATAATATATCCTAGACACAGCAGTTTGGGGATCAACAATATCATATCAAACAGCTTGGTTTAATAAGGAAACATATTGTAAGGAAACTGAAGACTACAAGGAAATATGGACATGTTAATATAATAATAATACTATTCATGTGTAGTATAACTACAAATTAATAGTGTGTATCATAACAACATTGTGGTTAGAAAGTCATCTCTATGAAAAATATATGACTGGACACATTAATTAAAAACTGCCGTAAAGGCCTGTAAAATCCAAAGTATCACATTATAAATTGGGAAAAAAATGTCAAACTACATACTTTTGTGGAAGTTACCATTATTTAAATTATTATCCTGATTGAAGCCTTAATAACTTAGGTGTTTAGTAGTACCACTAGTTGCTATTTATGAAATACTTGTGGATATATTTTGGAGTACTGTGTGTATATAATACTAAGTAGATAGAAAGAAGATAAAATGATAGTAGATAGTAACCAGGCACAAAAATAATATAAACTAACATAAATAATTTACCTTTGAGGAACTAACATAAGAAGGTACTTAATGAGTTCTAACATTGATGTTTTAACATATGAATAAACACTTGTTTAATAGTATTTAATACATAATGTCGGTTACAAAACAAATATACTCACTTCTTGGTTCCGATTGAACTTCTGTACTCTGCTATTGATAGACATCTATACACGATATACCGCAAACACTTTTACTATCTATACGATATGAATACAAAGGTTCAAGATACGAAAATGAAAGGTGCCAAGTAGGCAGATATATTTCGAGGTGAGAGGAACGATTGCAACAACACACACACAAACTACTTAGCAAAAAACTTGTTCCTTTGGCATTTATTTCATGGGACGTGTCAAGTCATGTATAAGAAAAAAAATATTATAGAAGCACAATTACCACAGTTCACACGTACCGAACTGATGATTTTTCGTTAAGTCTTATCTTCGAACATATATGTATATGACATCAGAGTAGAAATAGGTGGATTTAATAAAAACGAAATGATAACAGATATCATTAATCTTTATTGCGATATATTATCATTAGGTAAAGATGATTTACAATATATCTTGTTTCAATTGAAGGCCTAAATAATGTAAACAAAGAAACGTCAAGTTACATGGCAAGTGCACATTACACCTTGTTCACACTTTGCTGACTTGGCCAGTAAAGTTGGACGATAGCGCAGGCCAGGCATGGATTGTTGGACTCACAAGTGCCGGCTAGTGTTCACATTATGCCACTTGAATGTTAGTTTAGCTTAGTTGGAGCTACTGACCAGATGGAAACCGAATTTGTTGTTATTTTTTTTAAAAAAAAAACGAATTTAAAAAACATACAGACTAATTGAGTACCTTCTTCTTTTGGAAAGTCGGTCAAAAATTGAGTTATCTTAAGCTTAGCTTATTTTTTTACTCATCCACTCGTTTGTGTGGCGCTATGTGAGAACTCAAATGCACATTTCAGAAAATGTATTCTCCGAGTCAGTTAATATTGCGGTCCAGGATATGAAAAAATCTAAATACAGAAGATACCACGCTTTATTGACCGGATTTTGACGTTGAAATGGATAATATAAAGTATGTGTGGCCGATGCCTGAAACTTATGTCAGAGGCCAAAACCAACTTTGGATCGCTGGGCATTTCGGGACCTCTTATGCCAATGAACAGGTTAGTTTTTTACAATACTGTAGATCATTTTTTTCAATTTACAAGAATATGATCGACAAGTTTTTTTGGCATGCACTTAACATCATGTATTTTATTGGTTTTAAATTTGATGTGAAAATAAAAACTTCAAACAAAAACAGAATCAAGCGAATTCATTTATTTGATTAAAAACATTTGATTGGAAAAGCAACAGCAAGTTCAAATATTTATGAGATCAATAATTAATAATAAAATACACATGAAGCACCCTTCACTCCTGCCGACACCGAAAATTGTGTTCTGCGCCACAGCGCAGATACCGAGAAACTTCTCGGGCGATGTTCCGAGCTACATAATTGATTGACTTCTTCGCGCTGTTGTAGGTAAGCATTTCAGAAGCACGCAATGAGCGAATATATAATATTACCTATAAAAATCTCTACATACATCTAAATACTGACATTAAATCACATTAATACAAGACAAAACTAAGTCAATCGAAATCAACAAAAAACCAGTAACAAACAAAAATCACCTTTACAAATGTAGTGTGGCGAGATCGGCGAAATATACTCGTCGGGGAATACACAACAGTTACAAAAGCTATGTGTAAAAGAGACAATGTTCTTCAAAGAAATATCTTTTTTCATCATACAATATATTGCGCCTATTTATTACTGACTCAACTTTTCAATCGCCGAAAACTTATTTTGGGGTAAATATATTTTAACTTTTATCTTTTGTAGTTATTTACATTGTCTTAATTTTAAAATTAGAATTCAATTGAAATTTTGTAGGATTGTTGAAACAATAACTCTTAAAATTAAAAAATTAATAATAAAAAAACAGAAATGTGTGAAAATGAAATTGGTATTTTTTATCTACTAAATTATGACTATTAATTTCAATATTTTACGATGAGTATTATTATTATCTTATATAATTTAAGTAGCTACCAAAATATTATAGTTAACAAGCAAAAAGCCCTTATTTTTAAGGGAGTAATTTTAAATCACTATTGGAGAGCGCGCTGCTGTCTAGGGGCTTGTCAGATAAGGAATCCAGCGTTGCGTACATTTCATCGGTATGCGCATCCGAAGTATTCCTGAAATAAAAAAAATCAACACATAATATACATTAATGAAATTAGCATGTTGTAATAATATTCAATAGGGATAATTATAACCTCAATTATCGTATACACACCTGCTGTTAATACGATTGAAGTCTCCGTCGCCAGATAAACTGTCAGAGTCATCATCAAGTGAGTTTTGAGAATCTGTAATAGAATTACCATAGATAAGTTTTGACATAAAAAACAGGATACGTCAATGACTATGCACCGGTTTCTTACTCATCTGGTAATGTAAAAAATATTTAATTAATAGCTGCCGCCCACGACTGTCCGCGTAAAATTAAACAAAAAAAAGTAGCCTATGTTCTTCTAGACTATATTCTACATCGGTACCAGTTTCATCGAGATCGTGGAGAGTCTCTAAACAAACCTAAATAACGTCCATCAGTTTAAACTTTCGAATTTAATATTATAAATGCCAAAGTTTAGATGGATGGATGGATATTTGTTAGTTTGTTAGCGTTGTGTAGTCTATACTTCTGAACGGATCTGGATAAAATTTGGCATAGATGTAGATAGTCCGGAAAAACACATAGACCACTAGGTTTTGTTTTTTTATTTCACGCGGACGGAGTCGCGGGAGAAAGCTAGTTGATAAGATTATTGAGATTATGTTAGATTCGAGGTAAGCGCGCCTGCAAGCAAGCGGGCAGGCTGCTCGTCACCTGCAGTGGTGAGGCGGTGCGTGGTGAGGTAATCCGCGGAGAGGTACGGCGGCAGGTCGTCTGCGTCCCCCGCGCCCCCGCCGCCGCCCGCGCCCGCGCCGTCCCCCGCGCCGCCCCCCTCCCCGCCCTCGCCCAGCGTCTCCACCACCGACAGCCACTGCCCGTTGTGGCAGCGGAACCGCTCCACCTATACACACCATAACACAATCTTACGTTACTTTAGTGACAATCGCTCAGCGGCTCACCTCGATTTGCCAAAACGATACAAAAGTACAGATTATAAAAAACTGTGTAAGTCATCTTTATCTAACTCGGAGATTTAGCTTAAAATTTATAATAAAAATAAGTATTCGTTCAACTCTCATTATCACTCGGGTTCATTTCACATTGTTATTTCAAATACACTGTAGTGCAGATGTTATTAGCTCTGTACCTTAATTCTTTCCGCCCAGTCATTTTCCATTTGAGAAATAATATCCAGGCACGCGTCGCACATTTTTCGTATTTCGACATTTTTATCCTGCATCAGGTCAATCAGGTAGGCTGGTGCTTCTAGAATTTAGACAGAAAATAAATTCGTTTAATTAATTATCAAAACTTAAAACCTTTAAAGAGATCAATGGTTAACATGTGTATATTAAAAAAGGAAAATGTGTTTTGACACTGCACGGACTAAAATGATATTTGTTATGGTAGAAAGGCCTTAGGTGAAAATCTTAGTCTTAGTAATATTATAAATGCGGAAGTTTTGTTAGATTTTGTAGTCTAAACGGCTGAACAGGTTTTGATGAAATTTGGTACAGATGTAGATGATAGTCTGGAAGAACACATACTTTTTTTTCCAATTCCACTACGACGGAGTCAAGTTAGTGAAATAATAAAAGTAATGCTTAAGAATGTCTAAGCCAAGACATATATAATTGGGCGGCGGCGAGGTTACCGGTCTGGTTGACGAGGTAGTCGGCGGCGGCGAGGTGCGACAGCATCTGGCGGAAGGCGAAGGCGGTCTGCAGCACGTGCTCGTCGTCCGCCTGCCGCAGCCGCAGCAGTTCCACAAGCGCGTGGCCGCCGCGCGCCGCCGCCAGCGCGCTCGCCGCGCGCTCGTCCGCCGCCAGCGCGCCCGCCGCCACCACGCCCTCCAGCACCAGCTCCGGGTCCCGCTCCCTCTCTACCCCGCCCCCACACACACACATACCACTAACAGTTATAAATTTTTATTTTACAACGAGCTGTTACCCGCAAACCTTATTAGCGCGGATATTTTTTTAAAAAAGTCATCTATCACATTCCTGCGTGCATCTACCTTCTACCAGCTATCTTTTAGTCAAAATCCCGTCCAAATCGGTCCACCCGTTCAGCGGTCCGGTCGCCATTTTTACAGCGCGAAATTAAAAAATATGTCCGTCAATGTCAGCTACCCTTCAGTGAAAGTCCGGTCAAATCGGTCCAGCAGTTTCTGAGATTACCCGGAACAAATGCGGCTTGCGGGGAGATAGACAGACTGACAAAAATTTTTCAGAAGATATAGATTTCATCGTTGGAGAAATTTAACTTTGTCATAAAAATCATACCTGGATCCAGAATCTTCATTATGCACGGTATAAGATTGTATCTTTCAACAACAGCATAAATGTCGATATTGTTGCTGAGACACAGAATATTGCTCAGAGTGCCGAGACATTCAATCACAAACTCCTCGGGCGCCTCCTCGCTCGTCACCGCCCCGGCTATGTCGCCTACGAATTCCTATCGACAAAACACCGGAAATTACATTTATTCTACAAGTCATTCAGATTAAAGTCAGTGTAAAAGTGAAATTTTGTGATCGTTATATAATATGAATCGAACTTACGACAAAGAGAGGCTTGGTTTGTGTGTGATGTGAGAGGTTGCGGACGAGTTTCATGAGCATGGAGTTCCTGTAGCGGAAAGCGCGCGCCAGCAGCTCGCGCAGCCGGCCCTCCGCCGCCATCTGCTGCGCCGCGCGCTCGCACCACGCCAGGTTGACGCACGTGGCCAGCAGCACGTCCGTCGTGCCCGCCCCCGCCCCCGCCCCCGCCTCGCCCGCGCCAACGCCCCCGCCCCCGCTCCCGCACTCGCTGTTCACGTTCAGCAGCAGCATGTCCGTCAACTTTCATACAACATAACACTCAGTCAGTCAAAGCACATAAAAATTCCTACTTACTACATATCAAAAACTGTAAATGTTAAGTATCAATTTTTATAAAATAGTTGCAAGAAATCTACAATTGATTTTTTCACAATTTTGATTGTATTCATAAATTTTTAACAGCTTTGAGTACATAATTAGTTTAATAATATATCTCTTACCAATTTAACACAATCAGACTGTGTGAACATGAGCTTCACACGATCATCCATACTCAGATGATAAAGGATTTTCATTGCCAAGTTAATGTGTTTATCATCACCTGTAAACATTCACAAATAATTTAAATGCAAAAATTCTGACTACGAAAGAATTTACTACAATTTTTGGATATTTACTTGTGAATTGTATAAACTTAGGTAAAAGGTTGACTTTAATCATTTTGTTGCGTAATTTCGTGTCAAATGTTAAATTAAAGAGGAGTTTCAAAGTAACATTGACCAAGTCAGCATTGGGGGAATCCAGTAGAGGAGCTAATTTTTCAATAATTGATTTGGACGCCATCGAATTCTTATTTTCAACGAAAATAGATAGCTTTTGAAGAAAAGAAACAATGAGAATAAGGAGATCAATATTTGAATGTCTTTCCATTGCACCAATTAATAATCCAACAATATCTTTTTTATGCATTTTTTCTTCAACTTTAATATTATCTGCAATATTTAACAGCATGTAAAAAGCAACTCTTAAAAGTTGTTCCTGTCGTTTAGACAATGTCTTTAATTTCCGCTTCATCTGTTCTTCATCATTTTTTGAGAGATATTCATCAGAAGCATTGCACAAGTCTTCATGATAACTGGACACTAATTGGCGAGTTTTTTGTAAATTAACATCGGCCACAGCCCAGGTACCAGATTTTGGGCGTCGCTTAGGTTCAGGTATTCTGCTTTTTGGCAATTCATTCTGTAACAGCAATTTAGGTTTTTTTTAATGAAAAGCTTTTCCAAATCCTATATATAACATTTTTTTCAAAAGATAAAAGTTACCTTATCCGGTGTCAGCACTTGCTTCTTCCCTTCAACTCTTTCTTTCCATTGATCATATCTCTTTAGTTCATAATCTATTACATCCATACACAGTGACCCAATTTTGTATTGTATTATAACTGAATGAAATTCAATATATGTAGAGAAACAGAAAAATGTATAAACAATGTTGGTACTTAGTTCAATACTTCTTTTCCACTCTTCCCTCAACACTCTTGAGAGGGCACTCAATAAAGCCTCTGAAAATTTAAGATATATATTTACCAGAGAATTATTTATTGAGATACATTTTTTATATTATTGTATGATTATTATTATGGTATAGTTACCATTTCTTGCTAACTCTATTAAATTATCAGGATTTCTAGCTAGCTGTAGAATAAGAGCAGATCCTTTGATTTTCTCTGGTATATCATCATACAACAATTCAACATAATCATCAATACAATTTAAGACAGCAACGGGTGCACTCTCCACTGGACTCATACTTGTAAATGCTGTAAAGATAAGAGGTTTGCACATATCAAGTTGTAATGAACATATACAGGTGATTCTTAATGGACAGATCAATGGTTCTGTGAAGGTAGAGGAAAGCTATAGCTATCATTTAAATGCAAAGTGTGCTGCCCCATTTTCTACTTTAAAAGTTATTTAATTTTTAAAAAAAAATTGGAAAACCCAGTTTTCTGACTTAAATTTGCTGTACATCCAAAATAATGTGTTTACAGCGGTCATTATTTTTACTTTAACAAGCCTAATAATTACTTTTGGCTTTCCTACCGTTATCCCTTTTTTGGAATAACTCACATGAGAAATAAAAAACATTGAAGATTTTTTTTAAATCAAAATTTCTTTCTTTAACTTTAAGAAGCTATAATTTTTTTTTAACTTCAACTTTTTTCCTATAAGTTTTTCAAAGACTGCCCATACCTAAACAATAAAACCAAAAAAAACCTTCCGCCTTTTGTTTGTTTTTAGATTAAAAAGAACAATTTGAAATGGTCGAGGGTGACAATCTCTTGCAACTTTCATACAAAACATATGAAAATTAAATTATTCAAACTAATATAGTAATATTAGATATCCACTTTAAGCATTACCTTTTGCTTAAGTATAAGCAAGACACTAATAAGTAATATATATAATTGAAATTCTTAACAGTAAGGTTTGAGTATTGCGAAGATGTTTCATTGCGAAATAAAACATTCGTCGTAGTACAAGGACATATAAAACAATCATGGCTGCAGATTATTGATATTGTTGTACTCATGATAATCATGATTTATAATTTAACATTGTTTTGCATTTAAAATGTATGAAAACGCAATAAGAGCAGATACATTTTAATAAATAGCTGGTATAATACATGTACGTGTTATAACAGGTCTATGTAGAATAGTAATTGATTCAATTTCAAAAAGTTAGAATATTATTTTTTTAAGCCTAAGATGAATTGTTACCTACGTACCTTAAGTATCTATTCACTAAAATGTTTCAAATGATAAGCAGTAGGTACATGTATACTTTAATAAAACATATACAAATCCAACCCAATACAAATGGTAATTTTTTATCGCTTTTATTTTTCTTGTGACATGACAGATGACAGTGACAATCTGATTCTGACTAATGTCCTGTGCACATTCAGCCAGTACAGTCATTGACTGGACTGTCAATCGACTAACACAGTGAGCGTAACTGGCGGACGGTCTACTTTTTGGTCAATTTTGGTATTTCGATAACATGAAGTCACAAAGTGCAACTCCAAAAAATTGGGAAAATCCCGAATTATACATACCAAAAGTTTAAAAACAGGACTAAAGAAAAAACTTTTTAGAAGCTATTTTATGGATAAATAAACTAAAAATATCTGTTGTGTAAACTAAATAAAATAACCTAAATATCACTGTAGCGTTGACGACTCCCAAGGTCATTATTAAAGTTATTGAAATGGCATTTTGTGGGCAAATAGCGCCAATACAGTCACTGCTACGCCCCATTTACTGGCTAAATGTGATCCGCGAATATAGTCACATTATTTTTTAACTGGCGCCAGTGATTCCATGGTTGGTCAGCGCTACTGGCCAAGTGTGTACCAAACAGAAGTTCAGATACATATTCTTTTTTTAGCAGCCTAAATAGTTTTTGAATGTAGGCATACCACTTTAAAACAAAAATAAAATGTAGTAGTGATGTAGCGCTGGATTAACACCAGTTTGTAAACAACAACAAAATTAAAAAGGTATACATTTTTTTAATTCTGTAAAATAAAGGAAAAAAAAAGCCTTGACTGAGGTCTGTAATTAGTTGTCAATTCTGTATTCTGTATTCTGTTGTTCTATGGCTTTAGATTGTGATGTGATATGAAGTGATATTGTAAAGCGATCTGTGGTAATGACTAACTTGTGACTAATTATTTTCAGAATTATTTTTGTTTACTACATTACAGTTTTGTAAATAATTCTCCAAAAGTGAAACCATTTTAGTTTTATGGATATTAGTGACAACAAGTGAAAAAAATTATTAGTAATCGGTAGTCATGACTATTTCTTGCGTATTTCCTTCCAGACTTCAGTGAGATAAGGGGCAAGATAAAAACCTAATCGTAAGAATTATGTTTTTATGGAGAACTGGTTAAATAAGACATTTTTGTTACTATCATTTTGTACGAATGGATGAGTTGTTTTTGTCATTGCCGTAACGTGTAGATATAAAAAGTTGTCACTGCATTTAAAAGTTTTCTACCTAAAAATAACTTGTATGTTGTCCCATTAATGTTTATAATATCATTTCTTTTATGTTAACATTAATGTTATACGTCTTGAAAAAAATTTTAACTTCTGCTGTCCTTAAAATATTATTAAATGATAGTTTAAACTCAAATGTGTAACATAAACACAAAGTTTTGCAATATACTTTCTTTTTCAAGTGCCATCTCCCGTCGGAACACAATGCTATCGTTTTGCCTATTAATGATCTAAAAATTACTGCATTTCAATGCATGATTGAATTTAATGCCATTGAGGTTCAATTTTTTGCTCAGTGTCTTAACTTTGTTTGAGCAGTTTATATTTGTCATTGCATATTATATGATCCACATTGTGGGGTTTACATTTTTTATACGTTAGATATATCTTACTATTGTATTATCAATTATTAACTAAAATAATTGTTAACAAAGTATTAAAAATGAAAGTGCAAAATATCATTCAGTAATTGAAGCTATAATAGACTCAATGAGAAGAGTATTCTATTGAAATTCTTATGAGTAATGAGATTTAAGAGACATTTGTATACTTGAGTTTTTTAAAACAACTACAGCTCAAAGACTGACTTAATTGAAATTAAACTTGCTTAACTAAATGAAAACTGACTGCATTTTATCTGTTATGTATTTACTGATGTATTAACTATCCAATAGGATGTTTGTTGTATGTTTATGCACAAATTGTAATAACAATGCATAAACATGTGTTGGTTGTTTTGAAGAAAAATAAACATTTTATTTAACAAGTTACTTGAAAGGTTAAATTGATTGGACATTGTCTTGTTATTATTCTTTTATTCAATACATTGTAGTATATGTATATACATGCACAATATAAATACTAAACTTTTAAATGTATATTGTAATTATTATATTAAACTTCTTAGGTTCTTTACATTTTTTTAAAGTGATATTTGATATAATTGTTTTTAGATGACTGCCCTGGAAGCATTGAGCATTGAATAAATTATGCTGCAATAAGTATGAATTGACCATACACAATGTCCGATACAGTACAGCCGTTAAGTGCACCCATTTCACTTTCTACATATCACCAACTCAGTTTAACTGGTAAGAATAACTTACATAGTCATTTTATAAAATTATTCTTTGACGTAAGTAGTTGCTTTGTAATTCTGGTTATTTTTCTGTATCATTCAATGAAAGAAGATTGTTGAAAAACAAAAGAGCAAGCAGATTTCAGCTGATTCCTTACTGTAATATAAAAGTAAAATTTTATGAAAGGAAGTACAAAATTAAATTGAATAGGTTTTTTAGTGTAAATATGATCCTATAATTAAAGTTGTATTAATAGAATTAACTTTAAAGCAAACAGATTTAAAAATGATTGTGAAAAATGCAGTAACAAAAAAGACTGTATAATATGTATAACATTTGTACAAAAACATAAAGAGCATTATCAATTAAGACTACCAGGAGTATGTTTACTTACTTATTGAGTGTAATGTAATCTCAGTGACATAAACAATGTATACATATCTATCATGTTCAATATCTTAGTTCAAAGTCTGTCACACTGTGATTAAATATTAGATTACATGCATTTTGATGTTTTTACAGCGTGTTGATTATGTTTTATAAAGAATTTCAGCTAAGCAACATAGATTTTCTTATTTGTTATTAAGATCAATATTTTTTCATAAATTTGAAACTGTCCTGTTCATGTTTTATTAACCTTTGATTAAATGTAAGTAGACCTTGAATTAAAATCGTATTTTTTGCTTTCAGTTGAATCAGCCACTATTAGGAATTCAGGACTATTTAAACCAAACCCATACTTACAAGTGATAGTAGACGGTAAGGTTTTAAGGAAAACAGAAGTAATTAAAAACACACTACATCCAAAATGGAAGGAAGAATTTACGGTGCTTGTAACACCATTGTCACAATTGATGTTCCGTTTGGCAGATCATCATAGTTTTAGAAAGGATCATGTTATTGGAGAGAAAAAAATTCATCTTTTAAAAGTCTTGCATTATTTTAATGGAAAATGTGAAAATGTGGAACTGTGCATAGGTATGTTACAAGGATATTTTATTTTTTTTCACAAATTTCTTGTATTTATAATTTGCTTAAATAGAAATTGCTAAACTAGAGAATGTAACAGTTTCATTCATATTTTATTTATTTAAATATTAACCAACAACATCATCATTGTTCAACAATTTATTATTTTATGATATCATCTAACAATATTATATTTAGAAAGATTATAATATCTTATGATTCCAGATTTGATGAAAAGTGTATCCCAAGATGGAACTGCTGGAAACAACAATGTAAAAGTAAAAACAGCTGATTTAGTTTTGTTACTTGATGGATTAAGACTTGATCCATCTATACTGAGCCAGTCGCATGAAGTGCTCGGAGAGGCTACTAACTCGCGTAGTCCATTAAATGATGGCGTCCGTGCTAGAATTCGATTACGAAATAGTTCAGATTCATCACGGTCTATGCTGCGAACACAGAATCTACGGGTAAGGTTTATTTTACGTTTATTCAGTTTTGATGTAAAGAAAACGTAATTTTTTAAGTTATACGTCATTATTTATCGTGGTAATTGCCTCCAGTGTAAAATACTATCCAGATCCTTGGCTAATTTTGTGTAACTACGATGCATTGACGTTGTGGTGGTGTACATTTCCAGCCACCGCCAGGTCCACCTCCCCTGAGTAACGGTACGATCAGCGGAGTGTCAGCAGAAAACGGTGCGGGCCCCTCGCACGTGGAGCACG